CTACCAGTTCATCCTGTTCTATCAATTCACTGTAATCTGGTGATTTTCTACTAGAACACTGAGATCAGAGCAGCTGTTGATTCATTCGTCTGATTTCTGAAACTAGAACTTTACCAGCTGAAGATTTTCCATCTTTCTGTGTTGATTTTGTGTCTCTTTGTGTTGATTTTGTCTCTTTGTGTTGATTTCGGTCCATTTTGAGGCGGTTTCGTCTCTTTTTTTGTCATTTCACGTCTTTATTTGGTATTTTTGAGTCCTTTCGTGGTGATTTTACGTCTTTTTTTCATACTTTTGTTGTAATTTTGCGTCTTTTTGCTCTTTAAACTGAAACGATGAGAGCCTCCTGAGCAGCTGCACCGATTCATGGTTTCTGATCCAGAACCAGAACCGCTGCTGGTTTTAGCTGATCCACATGAGACACAAGCTGCTGCCTGTAGAGTTTAAACTACCAGGTCAACTCTTCTCCTCCTTCCTCTTGCAGAGCGCTGCGACCCGGCGATCCCGGCTTCTGCGCCCGAGCCCGGGTCCCGATGCCCTCCAACAAGGACTACGTGGTCCGACCCAAGTGGAACGTGGAGGGCGACTCCAACAGGGTGAGTCTGAGCAGGTCCGGTCCAGAGATTAAAGCTGCAGGTCTCTGGTTTAGATGAACCATGGAGCAGATTGTAACGGAGCTTTGAGACCCAGAAAGGTGAAATAATCCCACAGAACTGCACACGTAGGTCCAGAACCACAGAAACTTTATTAGTTTATATGTGGAGCTGCAGAAACTCTAAAGATGCATCTGAAGCTTATAAACGTCTGATAATAATCCTCATCGTGTTCGTTATGACTGAATAATGTTTAAATAAAATCCTGAATCATCTCTGATTCATGTCAATAAACTAAAGAACAGTTCAGTCATAAACCTGAAATAAAATAGAAATAAAGAAGTTAATTTATTTCTGCCAATAAACAAAAAGAATTTTAGATGAAAAATATTGAAGCAGAATTATTAAAATAATAATAATAATATTTCTGCACTTTAAGACAATATGGAGTTATTATAAAGTTATTATAAAGTTATTATAAAGTTATTATAAAGTTATTATAAAGTCAGCTGATAAACAGAAATAACAGTAAATCTCTGATTATTAAACAATCAGTGTTTAATTATTGAATTTTTAAAAATGTAATGAAGCCGACTTGTTAAAAAAACCTTCAGGAACTGTGATAAAGTTTGATTATAAATAATAATTAGCTGTAATAAAAGAAATATATCAGTTAATTTATCTGGTTTTAATAGAACACGGATAAAAACTGTTAAATTATTATAATTTGTAGACGTAGAAATAAAGTCATAAAGTTGGTTCATAAATAATAAATAACTAATAAAACAAACAGAGTAAACGTCTGTCTGGTTATCAGATAAAAACCATTTAATGTTTTAATTTACATGTTTAATAATGAAGCAGACCTGTTAAAAATAAAAACATTTGTTGTTATAAATGATGTTAAACCTTAAAGTGACGCTACTTTAATGCATCTGAGCAACAAGCTGCTAATTAAGGAGCTCGTTAAATCAAAGAGCCGTTTGAACCGTTTTTATTCCACAAACCAGAATCAGGTTCAGGTTGTAGATCCGGTGCAGCTCTGGTCCCAGTGGCCAGGTGTGACTCAGGTGAGTCCAGGAGCTGAGCTGTGATTGGTCCTCTGTAGAGCGGCTACAAAAAGGCCATCAGCCTGCTGGAGAAGCACAAGCGCCGCTTCGCCGAGCAGAAGAAAATGGGACGCCCGCAGGGAGCCGTGAAGATCAGCATAGAGGGCAACAGGATGCCGCTGTAGCCGCCGCCGCTCGCCTGCAGGGGGCAGTAAGTCCGTCTGCATGGTGTGAGGCCGCCGGCCTGTGGTGCAGAGGAGGAAGAGAGACGCTGGAAATAAAAAAAAAAAAGATCAGGAAATAAATCTTCCTTCATGAAGCTGCAGTTTGTTTCCACGTCGGAGGAACTGAACCTTCATGACGGAGGATCAGATCCACGTCTGGAACAAACCCGACGCTGGTGGTGCTGCTGATGCTGGTGGTGCTGGTGGTGCTGGTGGTGCTGCTGATGCTCAGCATGCAGAGAAACAAGGCAGTTATATAAGTTTTAATTAGATTCACTGATTTTATAAATGAAATGAAACCTCAGAGTCACCGTTTATGTTCTGAGTCTTTATGGAGCAGCTTTACTTTAGTTGTATCTGAGGAGCGACTTTGTCTGGATGGTTTCAGTCGTTTTATCCAAATCTTCTGCTCGACTGTTTCTGGTTCTACTTTTTAAACATTTATACCAAAACACAGACATTTATCATGACTGTAAAGTTTTAGCTTCATTGATCAAACACTTCTTCTAATAACGTTTAAAAGCTGCCCGTCGACCGTCTACCAGCTGGTTTGTCTCACGTTGAATTCGACTCAGTTTGATCACCAACATCTCCAGAACCTGTCCGTTGGGTTTATGTGGACCACAATGGTTTTAGGTCCTTGTTCGGTTAGAGGACGGCGCTGTGTGGAGCTAGATGTAGTTTCCTGGAGTCTCACATTTCTCTGGTTTTACCTCCAGAGCAGCAGGTTGCATCGTGTTGCTGACTAACGTAGAACCTTCAGGAGGTTACGGGTTGACGTGGACGTTGACCTGACTGCAGGTTCGTCTGGTTCTGCTGTTATTTATTGAAGACGGAAACATTTCTCCGTGTTCTTTCCGCTCCGGATGAGGTTTTTGTGGATTCTCTCGGCGCCGGTCGTCCCTGCATGAGAAGTGAAGTGTACTAACGAGGGACGAGGCGCTAAAAATAAACACTGAAAACGTCACATCGGAGACTTTTTCAGCAGCACTTTAGCGTTTCATCGTCCTGTTAGGAGGTGAAGATGCTCCGCCGAGCCTCCTCCCTGAGCTCAGATGTTAAATAAATGTTGTTTTTCTGTCTTTTCCCTCCAGGGTCCGGTGAAGAAAGGTTTGTCACGTGTGGATAAACAGATGCGTAGATTTGCTGACATCCGCCGCCTCACGAAGACGGGTCACGCTGTGAAGATCAGCGTGGAAGGCAACCGGATGCCGCTCTGATTGGGCTTTCTTTATTTTTCTTTTCTTTTTTTTCTTTTTTTTTTTTAAACCCTCCATAGGATTTATTCAGTTTTTTTTTTTTTTTTTAATGTTTTGTTCCTGAACAATCCCTCAGCTGCTCCCTCCTCAGGTTCAGCTCTGCCTTACTGACGGACTGAGGTCAACACTCTTCGGTCAGAATGTCGCAATCTGCCGTAAAACTCAGAAACTAGCTGATCTCTGGACACAAAACTGCAAAGGGATGCCAAAATAATCAAGAAAATAAAAAAAGAAACCGGCTGCTGATGTTGGCAATCAGCTGTGATCATTTACCACCTGACGTTAGCTTATGTTAGCAGTTAACTACATTAGCTGCAGTCTTAATTACGATTAGCATCAAGTTAGGTTTGCTCACAGTAATGTTAGCTAATGTCATTATGTTCGAGGTTAAGCTAATATTGGTGGGTGTTAGCTTTAGCCAAAGCCAACAAGGATAGCTAACGTTAGCAGTCAGTGAGTAAAACTGACATTATTCGCCTTTGACGTAAAGCTAGCATCAGCTAAGACAGCTAATGTTAGCAGCTAGCTTTGTCTACAGGTCCATAATTTGAGCCAGTATTAGCTGTCACTTGCAGGTTAAAAATGATAACGGCTAATGCTAGGTTAATGTCAAAGCTAAGTAAGATAGCTAATGTTAGCAGTCAGTAAGTAAAACTGACTTTGACTTTAACATAAAGCTAACATCAGCAAAGATAGCTAATGTTAGCAGCCAGCTTTATCCAGAATTTTAAACAATATTAGCAGTCACTTGGAGGTAAAACTGATAATAGCTGAGGTTAATGTCAAATCTAAATAAGATAGCTAATGTTAGCAGTCAGCTTTATCTAGAATACCAGAATGCTAGCTAATGTTAGCAGACGACTGAAGGTAAAACTACTGTAATACAGTCCTTAACAGTAACTCGTGCTTAAGTCATAGCCGACCATGATAGCTAATGTTAGCACTCAAATTTATCTCCATACCCAGAATGTTAGCTAGTGTTAGCAGTCACGTGGAGGTGAAACTGATGTTAGTCGTCTTTGATGTAAAGCTAACACCGTGCTAGAAGTCAGCCTCATCTCCATACCCAGAAAGTTAGCTAATGTTAGCAGTCGCTTGGAGGTAAAACTGATTTTAAATGATGCTAGCTTTATGTCAAAGCTGACTAAGATGGCTAATGTTAGCAATCAGGAGGTAAAATTACTATAACGTCCTTACTATGAACTGATGTTCGTGTTATGTCAATGCTAACTAAGATAGCTTATGTTAGTTGTGCTAGCTGTAAGGTAAAGTTAATGTAGCTCATTCATAATTTTAGCTAAAGTTATGAACTAGCTATGTCAGCTTATAGCTTCATCTCTAAACACGTAGGTTTGAACACTGGCTCATGTTAGCGGTTGAATTCAAACCAACTATATTCTTACTCTTGCTAATCTTAGCGCAACATTTGTTTTACTTCTAAAGAAAGGCGGTAGTGCTAGGGGTCACTTGACATGGAGCTAGTGCTAATGTAATTTATGACATAAAGCTAATGGACTGTCTTCCATAGCTTCAGCATCTGGTACTTCTGCTACTTTTAGTAGTTAAATACATTAGCTGACGTTAGCAGTCAACCACATTAGCTCCACGACAGCTACTGAATCGATTAAGTAAACTAATGTTAGCGTTACCTTTACCTAAAGCTGTTAGCTTATGTTAGCCTTCAGCTTTTCAACTTTTTACAGTTTTTATCTCTGAGGCTAATGCTAGCTGTCGGCTACATCAGCTATATCATAAAGATCAACATTCTCATTTTAGCCATTATTTGCCGATAGCATTAGCTTGTGTTAGCAAACATTGCACGGCTGATCAAAGGGTTGTTTTGGTGAGTTTCTTGTCCAGAGTGTCATCGAGTTTCCCACATTGGATCAAAAGTAGAATCCCTCCCGGCCCGCTTGTCTCTGGATGTGAAGGTGTTTGTATTCTGCTGTAGTCCGGTCCATCTGTCCCTCCGCTGTACATCTGTACAGAAATACATGGACTCTCTGCAGGACCGGGTTCACATGTCGACACGGGGACTCTGTTGACCCGGATCAGGTCTCTGGTCCGGTGTCGGTGTGGACTCTGTGAACCGGCCCGTCTGTGTGCACTGTTCTGGATCAGGTGATACTTTTCATAATAAAGACTCAACAGAAACTCATCTCGGTCCTCTTTGTCCTTCTTCAGGTGTTTACGGGAGGTTCAAGTCTGAAAGAGGTTCAGTCAGAGCCAAGACCAGGTCCAGTCCAAAAGTGGTCCAACCGTAGTCCAGACGGAGTCCAGAACAGGCTGAGTCAGAGACAAGTTAGTGTAAATGAAGAGTTTCAAGTCGAAGTCAAGAGAGTTCAAAGGGTCAGGTGAGAGTTCAAATGAAGTCCATTCTGAAAGTGCTCGAGTCCAAGTCAACCCAGAGACCATCCAAACTGGGTCGAGTCAGAGTCACACCAGTCCATTAAAATATATCTAAGGCTGAGTCCAAGTCAAGTCCAAAAGGGATCCAGTCAGACTAAAGGGGTCAAGTCCAGTCCAAACGAGGTCAAGTCCAAGTAAAGTCAGAGTACAACGGTTTCAAGTCCAAGTCAAGACTGACCCGAAAACAGTTTGAGTCAGAGTTTAGACTGAGCCCAAGTCTAGATCTAGTTCAAAATGGGATCGAGTCCAAACAACGTCTAGTCAGAGTCCAAGAGGTCTCCAGTGACCGATGACAGGAAGTCCAAACTACATCGAGTTAGTCGAGTCTGAATCCAAAATTGGTCGAGTCCGAGTCAAGACCGAGTTCGATCATAAAGAGATCAAGTCCGAGTCAGAATTTAAAAACTGATGTTTGAGTTTCCTTTAAAGACGGAACAGGAACTGGACTGGAGGCAGTCGTATAAAGAAACCCTTCAGAATAAAACATATAAAGACAACCTTCAGAATAAAACAGATGGATTAAGGGTAAAAACCTTCAAAATAAAACAGCTGGACTAACGATAACCTTCAGAATAAAACAGATGGATTAAGGGTTAAAAACCTTCAAAATAAAACGGTGACACTCGGCAGTTTGATCATTTTCTCTTTATTAAGCACAAACAAACGGCGGCAGAAGAAGCGTTTAATGACGGCGTCGGTGAGCAGGAGGTTTCCACGGCGACGCTGCCGGTCCTAAATCAGGTTTATGGTTCGTCTGAGCGCTGACGCAGCAGAAGAACCGACTGATTTAAAGGACGGCTCCACGTTTAATCTGTGTCTCTGTGCTTCGGAGGCTCTGGTGTGTTTTAAAGGAACAACTCGACATTTACGTCGATTCTGAGAGAAATTTATTAATTCTTGCAGAAGTTCAAAACCTTAAAAATCCTCCAAAGAGCATCTGAAGCTCTCGGATCAACGTTTCCTTCACAGAAATAATGATTAATGTACAATAATTCCTGTTTTATTCTCTGATTGTATTTTATTATATTTTGAAACTCTCGCTCAAAGAAAAATCGACCGAGTTGAAGTCAGACGTCCGTCTGTCGCCGTGGAAACCCGTCCACCTGCCGGAGAGTCAAACAGCTACGAGGAGGAAACTCGAGTCAAGTCGTGTCGGAGGTTCGAGTCGAGGCGGCCGACGCCTCCGGTCGAGTCGCAGCAGCAGCAGGGGGGGG